TAGCACCAACAGTGGTACACGTCAACCATTCTAACAACAACAGTGGTACACGTCAACCGTTATAGCACCAACAGTGGTACACGTCAACCATTCTAGCACCAACAGTGGTACACGTCAACCGTTATAGCACCAACAGTGGTACACGTCAACCATTCTAGCACCAACAGTGGTACACGTCAACCGTTATAGCACCAACAGTGGTACACGTCAACCATTCTAGCACCAACAGTGGTACACGTCAACCGTTATAGCACCAACAGTGGTACACGTCAACCATTCTAGCACCAACAGTGGTACACGTCAACCATTCTAGCACCAACAGTGGTACACATCAACCATTCTAGCACCAACAGTGGTACACGTCAACCATTCTAACACCAACAGTGGTACACGTCCACCATTCTAGCACCAACAGTGGTACACGTCAACCATTCTAACACCAACAGTGGTACACGTCAACCATTCTAGCACCAACAGTGGTACACGTCAACCATTCTAGCACCAACAGTGGTACACGTTAACCGTTCTAGCACCAACAGTGGTACACGTCAACCGTTCTAGCACCAACAGTGGTACACGTCAACCGTTCTAGCACCAACAGTGGTACACGTCAACCGTTCTAGCACCAACAGTGGTACACGTCAACCGTTTCTAGCACCAACAGTGGTACAACGTCAACCATTCTAGCACCAACAGTGGTACAACGTCAACCGTTCTAGCACCAACAGTGGTACACGTCAACCATTCTAGCACCAACAGTGGTACACGTCAACCGTTCTATCACCAACAGTGGTACACGTCAACCATTCTAGCACCAACAGTGGTACACGTCAACCGTTCTAGCACCAACAGTGGTACACTCAAACCGTTCTAGCACCAACAGTGGTACACGTCAACCGTTCTAGCACCAACAGTGGTACACTCAACCGTTCTAGCACCAACAGTGGTACACGTCAACCATTCTAGCACCAACAGTGGTACACATCAACCATTCTAGCACCAACAGTGGTACACGTCAACCGTTCTAGCACCAACAGTGGTACACGTCAACCATTCTAGCACCAACAGTGGTACACGTCAACCGTTCTAGCACCAACAGTGGTACACGTCAACCATTCTAGCACCAACAGTGGTACACGTCAACCGTTCTAGCACCAACAGTGGTACACGTCAACCGTTCTAGCACCAACAGTGGTACACGTCAACCATTCTAGCACCAACAGTGGTACACGTCAACCGTTCTAGCACCAACAGTGGTACACGTCAACCATTCTAGCACCAACAGTGGTACACGTCAACCGTTCTAGGACCAACAGTGGTACACGTCAACCATTCTAGCACCAACAGTGGTACACGTCAACCGTTCTAGCACCAACAGTGGTACACGTCAACCGTTCTAGCACCAACAGTGGTACACGTCAACCATTCTAGCACCAACAGTGGTATACGTCAACCGTTCTAGCACCAACAGTGGTACACGTCAACCATTCTAGCACCAACAGTGGTATACGTCAACCGTTCTAGCACCAACAGTGGTACACGTCAACCATTCTAGCACCAACAGTGGTACACGTCAACCATTCTAGCACCAACAGTGGTACACGTCAACCATTCTAGCACCAACAGTGGTACACATCAACCATTCTAGCACCAACAGTGGTACACGTCAACCGTTCTAGCACCAACAGTGGTACACGTCAACAATTCTAGCACCAACAGTGGTACACGTCAACCGTTCTAGCACCAACAGTGGTACACGTCAACCGTTCTAGCACCAACAGTGGTACACAGTCAACCGTTTCTAGCACCAACAGTGGTACACGTCAACCATTCTAGCACCAACAGTGGTATACGTCAACCGTTCTAGCACCAACAGTGGTACCCGTCAACCATTCTAGCACCAACAGTGGTACACGTCAACCATTCTAGCACCAACAGTGGTACACGTCAACCATTCTAGCACCAACAGTGGTACACATCAACCATTCTAGCACCAACAGTGGTACACGTCAACCGTTATAGCACAACAGTGGTACACGTCAACCATTCTAGCACCACAGTGGTACACGTCAACCGTTATAGCACAACAGTGGTACACGTCAACCAATCTAGCACCAACAGTGGTACACGTCAACCGTTTATAGCAACCAACAGTGGTACACGTCAACCATTCTAGCACCAACAGTGGTACACGTCAACCATTCTAGCACCAACAGTGGTACACATCAACCATTCTAGCACCAACAGTGGTACACGTCAACCATTCTAACACCAACACTGGTACACGTCCACCATTCTAGCACCAACAGTGGTACACGTCAACCATTCTAACACCAACAGTGGTACACGTCAACCATTCTAGCACCAACAGTGGTACACGTCAACCATTCTAGCACCAACAGTGGTACACGTTAACCGTTCTAGCACCAACAGTGGTACACGTCAACCGTTCTAGCACCAACAGTGGTACACGTCAACCGTTTCTAGCACCAAACAGTGGTACACGTCAACCGTTCTAGCACCAACAGTGGTACACGTCCAACCGTTCTAGCACCAACAGTGGTACACGTCAACCATTCTAGCACCAACAGTGGTACACGTCAACCGTTCTAGCACCAACAGTGGTACACGTCAACCATTCTAGCACCAACAGTGGTACACGTCAACCGTTCTATCACCAACAGTGGTACACGTCAACATTCTAGCACCAACAGTGGTACACGTCAACCGTTCTAGCACCAACAGTGGTACACGTCAACCGTTCTAGCACCAACAGTGGTACACGTCAACCGTTCTAGCACCAACAGTGGTACACGTCAACCGTTCTAGCACCAACAGTGGTACACGTCAACCATTCTAGCACCAACAGTGGTACACATCAACCATTCTAGCACCAACAGTGGTACACGTCAACCGTTCTAGCACCAACAGTGGTAACACGTCAACCATTCTAGCACCAACAGTGGTACACGTCAACCGTTCTAGCACCAACATGGTACACGTCAACCATTCTAGCACCAACAGTGGTACACGTCAACCGTTCTAGCACACAACAGTGGTACACGTCAACCGTTCTAGCACCAACAGTGGTACACGTCAACCATTCTAGCACCAACAGTGGTACACGTCAACCGGTTCTAGCACCAACAGTGGTACACGTCAACCATTCTAGCACCAAACAGTGGTACACGTCAACCGTTCTAGCACCAACAGTGGTACACGTCAACCATTCTAGCACCAACAGTGGTACACGTCAACCGTTCTAGCACCAACAGTGTACACGTCAACCGTTCTTGTCACCAACAGTGGTACACGTCAACCATTCTAGCACCAACAGTGGTATACGTCAACCGTTCTAGCACCAACAGTGGTACACGTCAACCATTCTAGCACCAACAGTGGTATACGTCAACCGTTCTAGCACCAACAGTGGTACACGTCAACCATTCTAGCACCAACAGTGGTACACGTCAACCATTCTAGCACCAACAGTGGTACACGTCAACCATTCTAGCACCACAGTGGTACACATCAACCATTCTAGCACCAACAGTGGTACACGTCAACCGTTCTAGCACCAACAGTGGTACACGTCAACAATTCTAGCACCAACAGTGGTACACGTCAACCGTTCTAGCACCAACAGTGGTACACGTCAACCGTTCTAGCACCAACAGTGGTACACGTCAACCGTTCTAGCACCAACAGTGGTACACGTCAACCATTCTAGAGCACCAACAGTGGTATACGTCAACCGTTCTAGCACCAACAGTGGTACCCGTCAACCATTCTAGCACCAACAGTGGTACACGTCAACCATTCTAGCACCAACAGTGGTACACGTCAACCATTCTAGCACCAACAGTGGTACACATCAACCATTCTAGCACCAACAGTGGTACACGTCAACCGTTCTAGCACCAACAGTGGTACACGTCAACCATTCTAGCACCAACAGTGGTATACGTCAACCGTTCTAGCACCAACAGTGGTACACGTCAACCATTCTAGCACCAACAGTGGTACACGTCAACCGTTCTAGCACCAACAGTGGTACACGTCAACTATTCTAGCACCAACAGTGGTACACGTCAACCATTCTAGCACCAACAGTGGTACACACGTCACCATTCTAGCACCAACAGTGGTACACATCAACCATTCTAGCACCAACAGTGGTACACGTCAACCATTCTAGCACCAACAGTGGTACACGTCAACCATTCTAGCACCAACAGTGGTACACATCAACCATTCTAGCACCAACAGTGGTACACGTCAACCATTCTAGCACCAACAGTGGTACACGTCAACTGTTCTAGCACCAACAGTGGTACACGTCAACCGTTCTAGCACCAACAGTGGTACACTTGTCGCCATTTCACGTTTTATAGTTTTGTTCTGTCGCATTGCTACTAGACATTAAATATGTTAAATATTGTGTTAATATGTTTGTATATATTTGCATAACTTAACCATTACCTAAATTTACTTAAATTAACTGAAAGAAAAGAAAACTCAGAAAAATAGGAAATGTTAAATGATAAACGTTAAGGAAAACGTCATTCGACGTTTTTAGATGAGAATTGTTGACTAAAGAAATATAAACCTCTTACTGTATATACACTGAAATATACACGACTATCTGTACTTGGACTAAGATTTACACCTATCAATGTATGTACACAGACATCCACTTGTGTATAGTAAACAGATCAACCTTGTTTCTCAGCGTATAACATATATACAGACACACACTTATGACTGCATGAATACAGACAAATTGTATATACAATAAAAAAAACACTTCAGTGTATAATATATAATATATATATATAATATATATTATATATATATATATATAATATATATATATATATATATATATATATATATATATATATTAAATATAGGGAGACATTTATTTGTGTGTTGACATTGAGACGTACTTCCCGTTGAGTATAAAATTTGTTGATTAACTTGTATGATTTTTTTCACAGCCGGAGTGTTCAGAGTCTGGTAGTATATTTATCGGATCGTATCCATATGTACAGCCCGAGCAATACGTCTGTCTCTGGCTCTCCCCTGGCTCGTTGTCAAAGCGAAGATGAGGTAGACTACCACCGCTCCCCTGACCTTGATTCTCCTCTGGATAGCGGGGACTCCTCCACTAGTGATGAATCCAGCGCTGACGAGGAGTCCATCGCTGACGATGAATGCAGCGTTGGTGAAAACTCTCTTTCCGAGGATGAGTCTATCTCTGACGATGAGTCTAACGCTGGTGAGGAATCCAACATTAATGATGAATCTTTCATTGACAATGAATCCAACGCTGGAAACGAATACATCGATGGCAGTTTTCTCGATGACAATATTTTTGATGAGGCTGAGAACGCTGCCTTCACTCTGAAGCAAGTCAACGAAGATACACATTTGTCTTCCATAAACGCTCAAACTAGGGCAACTTCAACACTCGGGCAACACCCAAGTGAAGCAGCGTCTGACAGAGAACCAGGAAACATGACAGAAGGAATACTGACTCGTGCTAAATTACTGAGTGACTCCTTGGAAGCCTCAGGAAAGCGACCGAGTGAAGACAGAATGACAACTCTGGTAACCGGATATACAGGTACGACTAAAAAATCGCCGAATGACAACATAAGTGAAAATTCAGTGAATGATGAAATAACAGCACATGAAAAGTCACAAGGTGAAGATAAACTGATTATTGGACAGCTTCCGAAAGAAGTATGTGGCGACTCGGCGAGTCTCGGACAACCAGAAGCTGAAGGGGAAACTCCTGAAACTCTTCAGGTACTATTAGCTGAAACTATAATACATTCAGCGACTCCAATCACACAGACTGAAACAGCCGCACGTGAAGACCTCGAGACAGCCTCATTAATGGATGACGAGACTAAAGATGTTTATAATATTAGCCTTAAAGAAACCGAATCCTCATCTGTTACTCTGAGAAGAAATAAAGTAGCAAATTACAGCAGTGCGCCACCCAAGCCTCCGAGGGCCAGAATTTCAGGCTTTCCAAGCACTATACTGAAAGACACATGTTCTCGATTCCAGGAAATTCCACGCGAATTTCAGAATAGTGAAAATATCACTGAACACTCTAACGAGGAGGTGCAGCCATTTAACCAAGATGAAAGTCATCGATATAATCTGAACTGTAATTCTGTTGGGAATACTGAAATGGAGGGCAGCAAAGGTATTGGTACAAGTCAGCGAGCCAAATCGTCCACGACTTGTGACGCACACAACAACAGTGTCAGGTCAAGTAACGTTATGCGAAGTGCCGACGACTTAAGAGTGATGCATAAACCCGCGATTCAGAATATCGTAGATAAAATCTCACTGTCTCCTGCTCATCAAAAAGAGAGTAGTATTACCAGAGCAGGTTGCATCAAGAAGCGTACCCGAGAACCTAACTCCTGCCCAGAGACAAAGACGACACACACACCTTCCTCAGGGACCACGACGACGCATACTCCTTCCTCAGGGACCACGATGACTCACACGCTTTCTCCAGGGACCATGACGACGCGCACATCGCGCATATTAGGTAAGCGTTCACTATATACATGCGTCCTATTTCCAGGACTCAAGTCTGGCTAACCAGTTTCATTAAATCCCTTCACTAGCATATAATCAAACGTATTGCTTCCTTACCAGGAAAACAAAATTTTCCAAGGCTATGGCTGAAAAAGAAAATTTATTTTTAATAACTAAGACAGTATACCCGAATTGTGCGGCTTCCCTAAACTATATTTTTTTTATAAGCTAGAGGAATGATTAATGCTTATGTACAAAGGGTCATGTCAACCTCAAGAAAAATGTTCAATTTGCCATGACAAGAGACTCGAGAAGAGAGAAAAGTTAGTGTTTTTACAAGAACCTAAGATAAAATCCTCGTGTAAAGCCTGAGGAGGACCTTGAGGATTTACTAACATTAATAGTCAATGTTAGAAGAAATGTCTCTAACCGCTCTAAAGACTGCTTAGTTACAAATGATCTTTCCTATGTAGTGCATATGTTTATAAACATTTTGTTTTGCTTACGGTAATTAGGATCAAGCTCTTGGGTCCAGTTAATCATCGGCCCTTCTGAGTTTAGTCGTAAATTATACATGTATGAAGCCTGTATTCAGTAAGTTTAGTTTATTATCTTTATTCTGCACCCCATACCCATCCTGTGGGCGGTAGTCACCCCATACCCATCCTGTGGGTGGTAGTCACCCCATACCCATCCTGTGGGCGGTAGTCACCCCATACCCATCCTGTGGGTGGTAGTCACCCCATACCCATCCTGTGGGCGGTAGTCACCCCATACCCATCCTGTGGGCGGTAGTCACCCCATACCCATCCTGTGGGTGGTAGTCACCCCATACCCATCCTGTGGGTGGTAGTCACCCCATACCCATCCTGTGGGCGGTAGTCAAAAAGATTACAGAGGTACATAATGGGTCCAGGGACTGGACCCCAAAGTTATGATAGCTGAACAAGTTACAAAGGTGATGAACCATTCACACGTCCACACCCAGTTACAACTGCAATCAGTTATTAATATACATATTAGCTTTATTTACAGTGTTCAGTGAGCATCTTGAATAACTCGTGCCGCAATTTTAGGTTAGAAGTTCCCACATAAATATCCGAAACTCGAGGTATAGTTTATCACCAATATACCAAAAATAGGATCAAATATATGGTATCACTCTTAGTTGATATAAAAATGCTTAAGTTTATGGAAACATCCGTTGACGTCCCAGGAAAAACATACAGGAGGAAACAGGAAGTGTTAGTGATAGGAATAACAGTGGTAGAACCTGCGTTGTGTCCCCTCCACTCCCCGGAGTGTGTGTCCCCTCCACTCCCCGGAGTGCGTTGTGTCCCCTCCACTCCCCGGAGTGTGTTGTGTCCCCTCCACTCCCCGGAGTGTGTTGTGTCCCCTCCACTCCCCGGAGTGTGTGTCCCCTACACTCCCCGGAGTGTGTTGTGTCCCCTCCACTCCCCGGAGTGTGTTGTGTCCCCTCCCTCCCCGGAGTGTGTTGTTTTCCCCTCCCCCCCCGGGAGTGTGTTGTGTCCCTCCACTCCCCCGGAGTGTGTTGTGCCCCCTTTCCCCCTCCCCGGAGTGTGTTGTGTCCCCTCCACCCCCCGGGAGTGTGTTGTGTCCCCTCCACTCCCCGAGTGTGTGTCCCCTCCCACTCCCCGGAGTGTGTTGTGTCCCCTCCACCCCCCGGAGTGTGTTGTTTTCCCCTCCACTCCCCGGGAGTGTGTGGTGCCCCCTCCACCCCCCGGGAGTGTGTTGTGCCCCCCTCCACCCCCCGGGAGTGGGGTTGTGTCCCCCTCCACTCCCCGGAGGTGTTGTGTCCCCTCCACTCCCCGGAGTGTGTTGTGTCCCTCCACTCCCCGGGGAGTGTGTTGTGTCCCCTACACCTCCCCGGAGTGTGTGCCCCCCTCCACTCCCCGGAGTGTGTTGTGTCCCCTCCACTCCCCGGAGTGTGTTGTGTCCCCTCCACTCCCCGGAGTGTGTTGTGTCCCCTACACTCCCCGGAGTGTGTGTCCCCTCCACTCCCCGGAGTGTGTTGTGTCCCCTCCACTCCCGGAGTGTGTTGTGCCCCTCCACTCCCGGAGTGTGTTGTGTCCCCTACACCCCCGGGTGTGTGTCCCCTCCACTCCCCGGAGTGTGTTGTGTCCCCTCCACTCCCCGGAGTGTGTTGTGTCCCCTCCACTCCCCGGAGTGCGTTGTGTCCCCTCCACTCCCCGGAGTGTGTTGTGTCCCCTCCACTCCCCGGAGTGTGTTGTGTCCCCTCCACTCCCCGGAGTGTGTTGTGTCCCCTTTCCACTCCCCGGAGTGTGTGTCCCCTCCACTCCCCGGAGTGTGTTGTGTCCCCTCCACTCCCCGGAGTGTGTTGTGTCCCCTCCCCCTCCCCGGAGTGCTTGTGTCCCCTCCACCCCCCGGAGTGTGTTGTTCCCCTCCACCCCCCGGAGTGTGTTGTGTCCCCTCCACTCCCCGGAGTGTTTTGTGGTCCCCTCCACTCCCCGGAGTGTGTTGTGTCCCCTCCACTCCCCGGAGTGTGGTCCCCTCCACTCCCCGGAGTGTGTTGTGTCCCCTCCACTCCCCGGAGTGTGTTGTGTCCCCTAAAACTCCCCGGAGTGTGTGCCCCCCTCCACTCCCCGGAGTGTGTTTTGTCCCCTCCACTCCCGGAGTGCGTTGTGCCCCCTCCACTCCCCGGAGTGTGTTGTGCCCCCTCACTCCCCGGAGTGTGTTTGTGTCCCCTCCACTCCCCGGAGTGTGTTGTGTCCCCTCCACTCCCCCGGAGTGTGTTGTGTCCCCTCCACTCCCCGGGTGTTTTGTGTCCCCTCCACTCCCGGAGTGTGTTGTGTCCCCTCCACTCCCCGGAGTGCGTTGTGTCCCCTCCACTCCCGGAGTGTGTTGTGTCCCCTACACTCCCCGGAGTGTGTTGTGTCCCCTCCACTCCCCGGAGTGTGTTGTGTCCCCTCCACTCCCCGGAGTGTGTTGGTGTCCCTACACCTCCCGGAGTGTGTGTCCCCTCCACTCCCCGGGAGTGTGTTGTGTCCCCTCCACCCCCGGAGTGTGTTGTGCCCCCCTACACTCCCCGGAGTGTGTGTCCCCTCCACTCCCGGAGTGTGTTGTGCCCCCTACACTCCCGGAGTGTGTGTCCCCTCCACTCCCCGGATTTGTGTGTCCCCTCCACTCCCCGGAGTGTGTTGTGCCCCCCTCCACTCCCCGGAGTGTTTGTGTCCCCTACACTCCCCGGAGTGTGTGTCCCCTCCACTTCCCGGAGTGTGTTGTGTCCCCTCCACCCCCCGGAGTGTGTTGTGTCCCCTCCACTCCCCGGAGTGTGTTGTGTCCCCTCCACTCCCCGGAGTGTGTTGTGTCCCCTCCACTCCCCGGAGTGTGTTGTGTCCCCTCCACTCCCCGGAGTGTGTTGTGTCCCCTACACTCCCCGGAGTGTGTGTCCCCTCCACTCCCCGGAGTGTGTTGTGTCCCCTCCACTCCCCGGAGTGTGTTGTGTCCCCTCCACTCCCCGGAGTGTGTTGTGTCCCCTCCACTCCCCGGAGTGCGTTGTGTCCCCCCCCACTCCCCGGAGTGCGTTGTTTTCCCCTCCACTCCCCGGAGTGTGTTGTGTCCCCTCCACTCCCTGGAGTGTGTTGTGTCCCCTCCACTCCCGGAGTGTGTTGTGTCCCCTCCACTCCCCGGAGTGTGTTGTGTCCCCTCCACTCCCCGGAGTGTGTTGTGTCCCCTACACTCCCCGGAGTGTGTGTCCCCTCCACTCCCCGGAGTGTGTTGTGTCCCCTCCACTCCCCGGAGTGTGTTGTGTCCCCTCCACTCCCCGGAGTGTGTTGTGTCCCCTCCACTCCCCGGAGTGCGTTGTGTCCCCTCCACTCCCCGGAGTGCGTTGTGTCCCCTCCACTCCCCGGAGTGTGTTGTGTCCCCTCCACTCCCCGGAGTGTGTTGTGTCCCCTCCACTCCCCGGAGTGTGTTGTGTCCCCTCCACTCCCCGGAGTGTGTTGTGTCCCCTCCACTCCCCGGAGTGTGTTGTGTCCCCCCCACTCCCCGAGTGTGTTGTGTCCCCTACACTCCCCGGAGTGTGTTGTGTCCCCTCCCACTCCCCGGAGTGCGTTGTGTTCCCCTCCACTCCCCGGAGTGTGTTGTGTCCCCCCCAAACCCCCCGGAGTGTGTTGTGTCCCCTCCACTCCCGGGTGTGTTGTGTCCCCTCCACCCCCGGAGTGTGTTGTGTCCCCTCCACTCCCCGGAGTGTGTTGTGTCCCCTCCACTCCCGGAGTGTGTTGTGTCCCTTACACTCCCCGGAGTGTGTTTTTGTCCCCTCCACTCCCCGGAGTGCGTTGTGTCCCCTCCACCCCCCGGAGTGTGTTGTGTCCCCCCCACTCCCCGGAGTGTGTTGTGTCCCCTCCACTCCCCGGAGTGCGTTGTGTCCCCTCCACTCCCCCGGAGTGTGTTGTGTCCCCTCCACTCCCCGGAGTGTGGTTGTGTTCCCCTCCACTCCCCGGAGTGTGTTGTTGTCCCCTCCACTCCCCGGAGTGTGTTGTGTCCCCTACACTCCCCGGAGTGTGTGTCCCCTCCACTCCCCGGAGGTGTGTCCCTCCACTCCCCGGAGTGTGTTGTGTCCCCCCCCACTCCCCGGAGTGTGTTGTGTCCCCTCCACTCCCCGGAGTGTGTTGTGTCCCCTCCACCCCCCGGAGTGTGTTGTGTCCCCTCCACCCCCCCGGAGTGTTTTGTGGTCCCCTCCCACTCCCCGGAGTGTGTGTCCCCTCCACTCCCCGGAGTGTGTTGTGTCCCTCCAATCCCCGGAGTGTGTTGTGTCCCCTCCACTCCCCGGAAGGCGTTGTGTCCCCTCCACTCCCGGAGTGTGTTTGTCCCCTCCACTCCCCGGGAGTGTGTTGTGTCCCCTCCATTTCCCCGGAGTGTGTTGTGTCCCCTCCACTCCCCGGGTGTGTTGTGTCCCCTCCACTCCCCGGAGTGCGTTGTGTCCCCTCCACTCCCCGGAGTGCGTTGTGTCCCTCCTCCCCGGAGTGTGTTGTGTCCCCTCCACTCCCCGGAGTGTGTTGTGTCCCTCCACTCCCGGAGTGTGTTTGTGTCCCCTCCACTCCCCGGAGTGCGTTGTGTCCCCTCCACTCCCCGGAGGTGTGTTGTGTCCCCTCCACTCCCCGGAGTGTGTTGTGTCCCCTCCACTCCCCGGGAGGCGTTGTGTCCCCTCCACCCCCCGGAGTGTGTTGTGTCCCCTCCACTCCCCGGAGTGCGTTGTGTCCCCTCCACTCCCCGGAGTGTGTTGTGTCCCCCACTCCCCGGAGTTTTGTTGTGTCCCCCCCACTCCCCGGAGTGCGTTGTGTCCCCTCCACCCCCCGGGAGGTGTTGTGTCCCCTCCACTCCCCGGAGTGCGTTGTGTCCCCTCCACTCCCCGGAGTGTGTTGTGTCCCCTCCACTCCCCGGAGTGCGTTGTGCCCCCTCACTCCCCGGAGTGTGTTGTGTCCCCTCCACTCCCCGGAGTGTGTTGTGTCCCCTCCACTCCCCGGAGTGCGTTGTGTCCCCTCCACTCCCGGAGTGTGTTGTGTCCCCTCCACTCCCCGGAGTGCGTTGTGTCCCCTCCACCCCCCGGGAGTGTGTTGTGTCCCCTCCACTCCCCGGAGTGTGTTGTGTCCCCTCCACCCCCGAGTGCGTTGTGTCCCCTCCACTCCCCGGAGTGTGTTGTGTCCCCTCCACTCCCCGGAGTGTGTTGTGTCCCCTCCACTCCCCGGAGTGCGTTGTGTCCCCCTCCACTCCCCGGAGTGTGTTGTGTCCCCTCCACTCCCCGGAGTGCGTTGTGTCCCCTCCACTCCCGGAGTGTGTTGTGTCCCCTCCATCCCGGATGCGTTGTGTCCCCTCCCACTCCCGGAGTGTGTTTGTGTCCCCCCCCACTCCCCGGAGTGTGTTGTGTCCCCCACCCCCCGGAGTGTGTTTTTGTCCCCTCCACTCCCCGGAGTGTGTTGTGTCCCCTCCATTTCCCCGGAGTGTGTTGTTTTCCCTCCACTCCCCGGAGTGTGTTGTGTCCCCTCCACTCCCCGGAGTGTGTTGTTTTCCTCCACTCCCCGGAGTGTGTTGTGTCCCCTCCACTCCCCGGAGTGTGTTGTTTTCCCTCCACTCCCCGGATTGTGTTGTGTCCCCTCCACTCCCCGGAGTGTGTTGTTTTCCCCCCACCCCCCCGGAGTGTGTTGTTTTCCCTCCACTCCCCGGATTTGTTTTGTGTCCCTCCACTCCCCGGAGTGCGTTGTGTCCCCTCCACTCCCCGGAGTGTGTTGTGTCCCCTCCACTCCCCGGAGTGTGTTGTTTTCCTCCACTCCCCGGAGTGTGTTGTGTCCCCTCCACTCCCGGAGTGTGTTGTGTCCCCTCCACTCCCCGGGTGTTTTTGTGTCCCCTCCACTCCCCGGAGTGTGTTGTGTCCCCTCCCATCCCCGGAGTGCGTTGGGGTCCCCTCCACTCCCCGGAGTGCGTTGGTCCCCCCCAAACTCCCCGGAGTGTGTTGTGCCCCCTTCCACTCCCGGAGTGTGTTGTGTCCCCTCCACTCCCCGGATGTGTTGTGTCCCCTCCACCCCCCCGGAGTGTGTTGTGTCCCCTCCACTCCCCGGAGTGTGTTGGTCCCCTACACTCCCCGGAGTGTGTGTCCCCTCCACTCCCCGGAGTGTTTTTGTGTCCCCTACCCCTCCCCGGAGTGTGTGCCCCCTCCACTCCCCGGAGTGTGTTGTGTCCCCTCCACTCCCCGGAGTGTGTTGTGTCCCCTCCACTCCCCGGAGTGTGTTGTTTTCCCTCTACTCCCTGGAGTGTGTTGTGTCCCCTCCACTCCCCGGAGTGTGTTGTGTCCCCTCCACTCCCCGGAGTGTGTTGTGTCCCCTCCACTCCCCGGAGTGTGTTGTTTTCCCTCTACTCCCTGGAGTGTTGTCTTCTTCCGCTCACTGCAGTTTTGTCTTCACTCCCTGGAGTGTTATTTTTCCTCCACTCCCTTGAGAGTTGTCTTCCAGTGCTTGAAGTGTTGTCTTCACTCCTTGGAGTGCTGTCTTTTCTCCCTGGAGCCTGGAGTGTTGTCTTCCCTCTTCTCCCTGGAGTATTGTCTTCCTCCACTGCCTGGAATGTTGTCTTCCTCCACTCCCTGGAGTGTTGTCTTCCACCTACTCCCTGGAGTATTGTCTTCTTCCACTCCCTGGAGTGTTGTCTTCCACCTACTCCCTGGAGTATTGGCTTCCTCCACTCCCTGGAGTGTTGTCTTCTCTCTACTCCCTGGAGTGTTTTCTTCCTCCATTCCCTGGAGTGTTGTCTTCCCTCTACTCCCTGGATTGTCTTCCTCCACTCCCTGGAGTATTGTCTTCCTCCACTCCCTGGAGTATTGTCTTCCTCCACTCCCTGGAGTATTGTCTTCCTCCACTCCCTGGAGTGTTGTCTTCCTCCACTCCCTGGAGTGTTGTCTTCCTCCACTCCCTGGAGTGTTGTCTTCCTCCACTCCCTGGAGTGTTGTCTTCCTCCACTCCCTGGAGTGTTGTCTTCCTCCACTCCCTGGAGTGTTGTCTTCCTCTACTCCCTGGAGTGTTTTCTTTCCTCTACTCCCTGGAGTTTTTGTCCCTCCACTCCCTGGAGTGTTGTCTTCCCTCTACTCCCTGGAGTGTCTTTCCTCCACTCCCTGGAGTGTTGTCTTCCTCCACTCCCTGGAGTGTTGTCTTCCTCCACTCCCTGGAGTGTTGTCTTCCTCCACTCCCTGAAGTGTTGTCTTCCTCCACTCCCTGGAGTGTTGTCTTCCTCCACTCCCTGGAGTGTTGTCTTTCCTCCACCTGGAGTGTTGTCTTCCTCCACTCCTGAAGTGTTTTTCTTCCCCACTCCCTGGAGTATTGTCTTCCTCCACTCCCTGAAGTGTTGTCTTCCTCCACTCCCTGGAGTATTGTCTTCCTCCGCTCCTGGAGTGTTATCTTCCTCCACTCCCTGAAGTGTTGTCTTCCTTCACTCCCTGGAGTATTGTCTTCCTCCGCTCCTGGAGTGTTATCTTCCTCCACTCAGTGGGGAACGCTGTCATGTACTTCCTGTCCAGAAAGTGTAATTTCTTAAATTTCTATTTAGCAACACTGGATTCATCAGTAGTGTTGTGGAAGTATTCTATATGTTTGTTACACACTGGAGACACAAGATGTGTTTCCCATCATATTCCAGCAGGCAGGATGGGACTCCATACTCTTGTTAGCCTGAGTTGGGAGACTTCAGTATAGCAATGAGCATATCGTTAAGCATTATTCCATTAAGTTATCATCTACGGCAGCCTGTGGCAACAAATTAACCTCACACACACACACACACACACACACACACACACACACAACACACACACAACACACACACACATCCGGTGCTGTGGTGACATTTAGGCGTAATGTTGACACATGTTTGTGTTTCAGGCAGCAGCAGTAAGTCCCGGCAAGACGCACCCAAGAAGCCAGCGCGAAACAGCCAGCGCAAGCCATCTCTGCGCAGCCTGGAGCAGGACCAAGAACCCTGCAGTCAGTACATACCGATACACAAGTGTATGCAGCTAGTTAATACACATATGTACACAGCTATAATTGTCTCTGTATATACATGTTTACACAACTAGTTAATATCTATGTATGCAGAGCTAGTTAATATCTATGTATGCAGAGCTAGTTAATAACAAAACTGTCATAAATCATATAACCGATATTTCACAAATTGGTAATAAAAAGCAAATGAAGTTTGAATTAATTTTGAGAAAGACCTGCCTAGTATAGGCCTGTAGGCCATCTGGAAATATTACAACATTCTTATGGTTTTATTCTCACCCTAGACTGATATCAAATCGAGAGAGAGAGAGGAGGAAGGGGGAGGAGAAAGCGACTTGATAATGGTCTAGGATGAACTGAAATATCGTCGTTTTCATTACTAATATGGAGGTTTTTAAACTGCTAAACCCACGTTACATTGTAACTTCTTATTTACCCAGTTTTATGTGATGTAGTAATTTAACCCGTGTGGAGCATTCGGATAAATTAGACACTTGTGCAACGTTTTGGTATCTTTCTGGAAACGCTTCGCAAACTATTGGCTTCTTCAGTCAAATATAGAGAGAGGTGGAAGATAAGGAGTTGAGGTAATCAGTCCCTCAGCCTGGAGTCGATGTGTTCACTCCATCATTCGTGATGGACTGACCACATCGACTTCAGGCTGAGAGACTGATTACTTCAACTCCTCATCTTCCACCTTCCTCTGCATTGGACTGAAGAGGCCACGGTTGGCGAGTGCAGAATAAAGATACCCAAATGTCGCACACAAGTGTCTCGTTTATCAACTTGTCGGTTTTCTAACCCATTTGATCTTTCTGGCTGGTTGAGGCTCGGCCCACCACATCCTACCCAAGACGCACATGCCACCAACATGCTGGTTGACTCACTCATCATTAACTAACAAAGTTTGCATGTTGACAGCTGCCCACGGGATTCCTCTCAACCTCTACTGCGGCAAGTGCCGTGAGGTGATGTGCCAGGAGTGCACGGTGCACCACCAGGAGGCGCACCGGGTCCTCAACACCCCTGACGCACTTGCAACACTCCGTACCGAGGCAGTCACACTCCTAAGACACTACATGATACTTAAGTCTCTCCACGACACACTCATCCAAGTGTATACCAAGTACATAAAATACTCGACCCAGGTGAGTCTTCCAACACGACTGAACGACTCGTTACATTTGTAAACAATGAAATTGTTTACAAGTGTCAGTTCAACTGGTGGAACATGTGGAATTTAAACCCATGGCGACCCGGTCCTAGAGTAACAGTTAGGTGTCAGTTGTTTAGACGGCGTCCGAGGTGTGCGAAACGTGCTTATAGTTCACATAATTTACATCTACTTTTCAATGGGGGTACCTGATGCCACTGCGGGGGCTCTTGATTCAAGGAACTGGACTTACCATGGCCGTTGCATCAAACCTTACTGCCTCGCATTCCTGAAAAAAAATGATTTAATCCTTACTGGTTTAGCGCTTTCCGCTGAAGAAAATATGCATACAAAACACGGCTCGCCATTTTAATTATAACCGATAAGAAGTTCTAAACCCAAAGGGGGCCCGTGGCCTGGTAGGTAACGCTCTCGCTTCACACGCTGAGTGTCCCTGATTAGATCCAAGGCAAGGGTGGGAACACTGAACGTGTTTCTTTACACCTGTTGTTCCCGTTCACCTAGCAAGCAAGTAGGTACCTGGGCGTTAGTCGATTGATTTGGGTCGCATCCTGGGGGACAAGATGATGCACTGACTTTCATGGGTTATCCTGGGTTGCTAACCCTCTGGAGTTAAAGCTTCGAGCAAAACAATTGTCTCTTGTCTTACAACGCATAGATTAACAGGAAGCAGTCAGACTGTATCCCGCTCCAGGTCACTTCCCTCAAGGGGCTATAACCTTGTTACACATACGAACCAGTATTCACTTTCCTACTTTATCGTTAATATTCATAAGTTGTGGCTAGTTCTGGGTGTCTGGGACCACTGACCACAGTTAGTTATCACTCGTGCAGAAATAAGAGTTGTTCACCCTGTATACATATTGTCTATGCCTAAACAAGATACCTGGATGGGGTCAGTTAAATTGAATCTCATTCCACAGGCGCTGTAGGATGCATGAGAGTTTAGTGCTCGCCACAGAATATAATATGTACTAACAATAATGACTCTGATAAAAAAAATAAATTCCTGTTTTAGAACCCGTATATAAAATATGTTTATTATTATTTTATTTTTGTGTCTTAATGATTTTGTCAAAAGTGGTGTTGGTGTTGTTAGAAACACGAACATTACTCAGTAAAACTATGTTGATCAGAGCTGTGAATTTATATTTTTGCATAAAACCATAAATTGACCTCTTAATACTCTCTTGAAGATCATGATGGTGAGTGATGCTAGTGTGATTTGCCTGTACACTAAGTCCTTACTTAACACTGGTTCAACATCGTTTCGTTATAACGTTGACGAGGAAAATTTAGATTTTAGGCCGGGGCCACAGTATGGAGTTTGCACGTTCACCCCCATGTCTGCGTGGGTTTTCTCCTGGTAGAACGGTTTTCTCCCACATCCCAAAAAATGTGCACGTTAGGTTAATTGACGTGTCTAAATTGTCCCAGTATGAGTGAATGTGTGTGTGTGTACTCACCTAATTGTGGTTGCAGGGGTCGAGACTCAGCTCCTGGCCCCGCCTCTTCACTGATCGCTACTAGGTCCTCTCTCTGCTTCCAGAGCTTTGTCATACCTCGTCTTAAATTATTATTATAATCAAAAAGAAGCGCTAAGCCACAAGGGCTATACAGCACCTCGTCTTAAAGCTATGTATGGTTTCTGCCTCCAATACATCACTTGTTAGGCTATTCCACTTCCTGACGACTCTGACTGAAGAAATACTTCCTAACATCCCCCTGACTCGTCTGAGTCTTCAGCTTCCAATTGTGACCCCTTGTTTGTGTGTTCCCTCTCTGGAACAACCTGTCTGTCTACCTTATCTATTCCACGCAATATTTTGTATGCCGTTATCGTGTGTGTGTGTGTGTGTGTGTGTGTGTGTGTGTGTGTGTGTGTGTGTGTGTGTGTGTGTGTGTGTGTGTACGTGCGCGCGCGCGCGTCTCGCCATATTTGTTGTTTGTTTTTGAACTGCCTGGTAGTAGGAGGTGCTCCTTACAATTTTCCCTTCGTAAACATTTATTCCTTGAACTAATCCTGTTGCAGTGAGTGCTACAGGTGCACTGTGTGCCCCTGGTGTGTGGGGCCAGAAAAAAAAGAAAAAGTGTGACATTAGAAACAAAACGAAGTTTTAAAGAGGTATGACGATGGACAGCGATCCTATGGTAAAACTGGTTTCGTTATATGTCGTTTCGCTTAAAGTCGCAGTTTCAAAGAACCTGTCGACGACGTTAAGTGAGGACTTACTACAGTTACCTTCTTTCAGGCGCCCTGGTACTCTACACAAACCCAATGCGATATTTTTAACACCATCACAGTAGCGAAAGTCAAGAGTAAGCTAATTGTTATATTCCAATAAATCCATGACATTGCTAGGCAGCATCTGTATTAACCTTAGTCGTCTTGTTGAAAAGTGGCACACAGTGCCAGGCTTCCAATCCTTCGCTGCATTTTTTTCCCCTTGCACATTATTATTATAATCAAAAAGAAGCGCTAAGCCACAAGGGCTATACAGCTTCCCCTTGCACAACAAAGGTGAACTCTACTATCTTCTATATAATTAGATCTCGTTCTGTGAAATTTTCATAAGGAAAACGTACCAATATTTAAAAAAAATTTTTTAAGGGTGGGGGCCAAAAAATTTTACGAAAAACGTTTCGGTGGGTTCTAGTCCTGTTCCCCCCACGGTTTTTGGTCTTTTTGTTTTTCCCAAGTACCCAGGGTTTTTTTTCTTGTCAATTTTTTAATATGCTAAAAAAAGGGAAAAAAAATTGGGGGTTTTGGGAAAAAATTTTTCGAAGGATTTTTTCTTTCCAAATTCCCCCGGCGTCAGATCAAAAATTTAAAGATTTAACTTAATGAACTTAAAGACCCAAATCGAGGGAGGCCATCTCGTGGCCTGCGCATAAAGGGAATGCTTTTGTACATGGCGGAGGTGGTGCAGGAGGCCCAGGGGGGTGGTGGTTTCGGGCCCGGAAAACCTGAAGATGATCCGCGGGGGCGATTGAAGGAGTGGGGGGAGCCCCAGCACGACTGGAACGACCGGTTTCCCTCCCCCTAAGCGAAACCACTCTTCGCCGCACCGTCATCAAGACGTGCAAGGTCTACCTCAGGTCAGTGTCGCCCCCCAAAATCCCCCCCCCCCCCCCCCCCCCCACCCACCCCCGGGGGGTCGTATCAGCCCTGGGAGGTTGGAACCCAAAAGGGGCATATTGCTAAAAAATGATAATTTTCATGGGGAAGAACAAACCCGTAAGGGTATGCAGCGCCTGGGGAATGGGGAGGCAGTTGATTTGCCCCTAGGAGGGCAAAATTTCCGGGATTTTCAGGCAAGACCCCTTCCCCCACTCTGCAAGGTTTTATTAAGTTAAGTTATTTTGAAACCTCTTTTTTTTTGCCACACCTTATCGTGGCTTTCCCTGTATACCGGGAAACCCGGGATGCGGGCTTTCCGTATACCTGGTTTCCCTGTTTTCCGGGTTTTTCCTGTTTCCCGGGGATTCCTGTTTACGGTTTCATTTTAACCAGGATTCTTGTATCAGGGTTTCTTGAAATGAGAAGCACAGCTACAGTTTAAAAAGGGCCCTTCTATTTTTTTTCTTGCCTAGGTTTGGGGGGACTGGGTGATCCCTACCCCGTGGGTGCACCTGAGTCACCTTTTTTTTTTTTTTTTTTTTTGCCTTCCCGGGGGGGGAGATCCCCCCCCCTTAAACAAAGTTGTGCTGCAGGTGCCCTCCCTACAACAGAGTGAGTCTCCGGGGCCCAACCCACCCCGGAAAGTGCCTGGAAAAAATTTTTCAGCCTCGTGTTGTTGAAGTTTGCACACCCAGTTCCTCCGTTATTGTTACTTGCTTTTTTTTTTTTTTTAATTTTATTTTTTTTTCAATTTTTTTGGGTTTTTTTTAAAGAGATCGTTAATGTAAATTAGCCGCAAATGGATCTATATCTGTAATCCCTTTTTTAGACCTGAAAAATCCACAAAACATTTTTCAATAAAAATTTAAGGCTCACTGAAACCCCACTCTTAACCCTTTTCTATAAAAACAGACACTGAGAAAAAGCATATGAATTTTTTTAAGGTTTTTTTTGTTTTTGTGTTTAGCAGTCTTGGAATATATACATCATGAAGGGAGGGCCTGGGTTTTCCATAAAAAACACTTTATCTAAAGAATTTTGGGGCTATCCTCCCATTCTCTGGGGCCCAATTGGGGCTCCCTTTCCCAGGTGTTTGATGGCCCCTTTTGGGTTCAGCGCTTTCCCCTGACTTAAAAAATGGGTTTATAGACCTGGGTTAACGAGGCGGCGGGGCAGTCCCCAGTCTGGCCACGGTAGACCTGTGGGGGAGCCATGCCAGGCCTTCCCCGGCAACCCCCTCGAAAAGTCGTAGGGCTCCACGTCGTTCCCCTACATTTTATCTTCAACCGGTTTCAGGTTGGGTTGGGGGTTAAATTTTTTTTGAAACCTATCGACTACACAAAGGTCCCCTTTAAAGGGTCCATGTACTGTTTTCGCCAGTTTTAAAAAGCACTCGGTCCCCAGGGGTGGGGGGCTCAAAAAATCCTCTGTGTTTTATACAGAGGGCTGTTTTTTTTAGGGGTATTATTAAAAGGGGGGGGGCTTTCTTTTTATTTTCATTGGGGGGGGGGGGTGTCTTTTTGTGTTATATAGAGGGTGTCCTTTTAGTGTTTATTTCGGAAGGGCTTTTTTTTTTTTCAGTGTTTTATACAGGGGATGTCTTTTAAATGTATTACAGGGGGTCTTTTGTTTTTATATAAGAGGGCTGTCTTTCGTGTATATTCGAAGGGGGTCTTTTCCCAAAATTTTAAAAAGGGTCCTCTTTCAAACCCCGCATTTAATACGTTAAATAAAAACCTTGTATTTGCCCCCTGATGTTCCTACCCGCCTGCCCTTTTCCCGCGACCTTTCCTATGCCAGTTTGTCAAGTTTAACGCCCCCAACCTCCCAAGGCCGTTGCAAAAAGGGAAATTTCTCCCCTGATTCTCCAGTTGTCCCGATCGCCTAGCTTTCTCTACGAAAAGTTTTCCCCTCCTCTTTTACCCCTAATTTTTCGCCCGTCCCGTTTTCCCCCCCTCACCCCCCACGGGGGCTTACCCAAACCCTCTCATCGGGTGTTGAGCAAAAAAAACATCATGCCAACCCCCAAAAGAAATTAAAATCACTTTTATTTTTGGGGGTGACCTAGGGTTTTCTACACACTGGCCCCTATGTATGATTTTTTTTTTTGTAAAATGTAATGTGTTTTACCGAATTTAACTTGCTTACACTTTTACAAAAACTTTACATTTTTCATTACTTAAATGACAAGACGCATACTTTATCATAATGAAGGGGAATCGCTCAAGACTATTTTTCAGGGTAACTTCTTCCCTCCTTTTTCTCTCTTGAAGGAGGAAAGTGTCAGTAACAACCAGCAACCCTCAGCAGTGGATATGTCCAGCCAGAACTGGGGACTAATTATATCACTGAAGTAAACACACTGCAAAATCATTGCAAAAACAAACAAAAAAAAAAGAGTGCAAAAATTAGAAAGAAGTACAACACTCAAAACATTTACAAGAGATTTGTTTGGTTTCATAGCTATATTCCATTTTCAAATTTAAATTTAGTTCTCATTTATTTTCACGTGCAATATTCTTCATGGTGATCTTGCCTGTTGTGTTGACAGGTACTTTATCCAGGTGAGTGACCACGACCACTGGACGTGACAATGATAATGGTACCGTCTGAGGAGCATATCAAGGAATACCTCAAGCGGCGGCGCCGCTCAACCATGTCTCCAGCAGCACCTCGTGGCAACGGCTTCACTCCCTCTGAAGACTCTCACACTCTAGTAGAGAAGCAGTTGATGGTGGGAGGCAGGTACAGGACCAAACTCGTGTCTTATTACTCTACATCCCGCTCGCCTAGCACGCCCTCCACACAGACCGTAGTGAAAGTAAGCCTCCCCGACGTGAAGGTAGTAGATGGAGGTCACGGGCTTCCAGCGGCTACAGGAGGAATCAAGAGAGGAGACGTCTTAGTGGACTATGACTCGAGTGGACGTCCTAACCTATGTGTGGCAGTGAGGGACATGGGAGACATTCCTGCCCTCCGTTTAGGTCATATTATCCTTGGCTTGGACGGCCTCACCTGCCTGGTAGGAGCTGAGGACACCAGAAAAACAGAAAATAGTGGTTTTCGCGCCAAGATCATGGCGACAGTTAGGAGAGAAATAGAGATGGTCTATCAAGTCACAATTGGGATGGATCTGTGACTTATCTGTCTCGAGTTCCATATTTTTTTTTCCAATTTCTTGGCGAAAGATTCCTTCACAAGCATCAAGGTTAGCACATAGTTCGTTGAACCACTAGTGGAAGGTTTAACAACACTGCCGTCACTGCTGAACCACTAGTGGGTCTGACAGTTCTTCTGGAACCTCCCAGGTCAGGCCATGACAGGCTGGCTGGGAGAGTAGTTTGTCTCATTGTTAGTTGACAGTAGAGCCTTCAACATGCAGTGACAAAAAAGCTAACATTATGTTACTATTACATAGAAAAGGTTAGCCGCACACTGCGAATATATCTAGTTTCAAATGGGTTTCTCGATTTAAGTTATCAGTTTACAGTTAGTGGTAAACATTTTGAACGTTTGGTGGCCAGTAGACGCTAACATGAGTACATTAAATAACAGTAAAGTCTGCAAGAGTCATTCTGCGCAGTACACATCAGTCATGTACTTCATTGTGTATCAGCTGCAGTGTCATAATTACCATACCACGGGTGGGATTTGAACCCGCGGTCAGAGTCTCAAAACCCCAGACCGTCGCGTTAATCACTGGACCGGCTAGCTGGTCCAGTGG